ACTGCAGATTGTACCTATACTAACCTTAGCGTGAGGAGGCCAATCCCCAATGGGATCCTTCAGCACTGGGGCAATATAGCTAGCAAATAATGACAATCATTTAACTTGTCTAGAGTGTGTGCATATTTCATTCATGTTGTGGCATCGTAAGTGAAGCTGTTCTTCCACCTTGTGGTTAAATAAACTACTGCTTGTCGAGTTCGTGCACTAAAAATCAAACCCTGCATACAAATACTGCTACTAACAACACATTGCACAGAGCACTGTTACTGTCACAGAATCCCGCTTCAGACCAGTGCTACAAATGTCACCTAGCTGCACTTGTATGGTGAACACTCTCGCGCACACGTGTGTGGGTGTGTGTACAAATGAATAGAGTCACGTTGCCCTCTAGTGGCACAGAACTTTGGGGACCTGCTTTAACAATGACTAAAGTCTCCTTTAGCTTCAAGCATTCAGCGAAACACGAGAGCTCAGTCACATTGGGACAAAAATGTGGAAATGGAATGTGAGCATGTCACAGCACAGCAAAAACTGACCTCTTCAAAGAGCCACTGTGGCCCATTTCTGTGAGCAATGCCATTAACTGAACAGAAAGAGCAAAAATTAATTTATGCTTTATTCCCCTCTCTCCCCCCATTTCCACTCTCCCCCTCTATTTTCCACTTCTGGCTACTAAAGCAATCACATAGCCTTTGTCATTTCCATCACAGTACTATGCAGCACAACTGGGTTCAGCACCCACAGTCAGTCACCCCACAGTGAAGCCCCGCTTCAAAATCAGAAATGTCAATTCTGTGCTAATGCAATAGAGGTAACTGACATACATAATTTTGTAGTGAATGCAGAAGATCTGCACTGTGTGAAACAGTGGAACATGCTGGCTAACGTACTTCAGAGCCAGTAAGTGAATATTAATGTTTTTAATGGTCCTAAATTACACAACATTTCCAAAGCAGGACTAGCTTGGTTATATAAGAGGGACTGATTTGGTTCAAGGGAGAATAGAGCGGCAGGAAAAGAACAGGCTGTTTAAAATCTATGTCTGCTTCTCCAATGTGGCTGTCCTCTAAAAAGTCATTTATTAATTATGTGCCATCCTCCTCCTCGTTATCATTCCAGTTCCAGCAGCTGGCACCATGCTAAACTAAGTCTCCTTGCAGTAATAGGTGCTCCCCAAACAGTGCAAGGCCAGCCCTCATTCAAAAAAAGACCACATTCTTTTTTTGCCATTTGTTTTGTAATTATGATCAGCAGCCAAAACGTTCCCAGGATAAACTGTCAAAGTCACTAAGGAACATGAGGCAGAAATTTGACCTAGAGGGTCCCATTGCAATCACTCCCCAAGAACTTCATCAACCATTTCTTTTGTTCTTCTCTTCAGCAGCAAGACAGATGATTATAAAAAGGCACTGACCCCGACCCCTCTGTCCATATCTTTTTTTCACTTCAGATGACAAAAAGGGAGATTTTCACTTTTTGATGCCAAGAAAACAAGTTTGGACCAGTATTTTTGATACTCAGAACTGAACTTCAATTGCAAATTTCAGCTGTATGACTGTACTGTTATTTCCCCTAAATGGGATGTTTTCCAGACCCAAAATGTACAACATGCAGAGGTAAGCAGAAATACTGAGTTCAGTTATAAAGATAAATGCAGACTTGTGTTGAGTTCTGGGAACGAGTTAGTAGATGTAAAGCCAGTGATTCAGCTCCCATGTCTAATTAGATGGATTCCACATCTAATTATAAGGTTCATTTTCTTACAATAGCAAACCAAAGTACCTTATTGTCTGCAATTATTCTGAAAACCAACAAGAACCCAAGAAATCTGGCAGAGGGCCCATACAAAGATTAAGAGTCTATTTTTTTCACCAAATCTTGTATCACAGATAAGGGCTACCAGCATGAACAACAGGTGAGGCTTTTACCCAATGAAGCCAATTTTTCAGAGGAGGTACCACTGTGAAGGAGAAATGACTGAGACCCAGAACACTGAGACTATTCCTTCTTCAAAAGAGCAATTACAGCAGAGGCACTAGATGGAGAAGTTTTTCCTCAGGATCTCTCAGAAAAACCCACAGCTTGATTCAAAGGAAACATCTTTGAGAATAGGCTAGACTTAGTCTTTTCTAGCTTCAGCTGTCTTAAAATAAAAGTCAGTATCGAATACAAAGTGGTCACCTTAGTTTCCTCTCTAGTCAACAGAGATAGGTATCTCTGGAGGATGAGTCATCCAGTCCTAAAGCAGATGGGTAGGATGGATGGAGTGAATCCTTCTCCAGAGATGCCCATCTCTATACACACACCGTCCACAGAGAGTCTAGAAAACTACCTAGACACTTCACTTCTGGTTAGCTAGAAGCAGATGAGATGAATCCTTTCTAACATCATGTTGATCTGGCATAATGATGTTACTAGCAAGTCTCACAACAGTTTGATTTATTTTAATAAATGCATCAAATTTTTGGCACTTTTTTTACATACTGCTACCAACAATCTCCTTGATCTCTGCAGCTGCTTCCTAGCGTAGCCTTCCTCTAAACCACTACTAATTCTTCCTGCTCTACCAGCAGAAGGTTATTAAATCAAATCCACTCTGCACAGCATCTAAAATTATGAAATGTCAGTTATAAATCTGTCCTCTTCTCACTAATTGGAAACTGATGGGTTAAAACCAAATTATCTAACTTGCACATTTCTAAATAAGCTGCCATGGATGAGAACCAACTAAAGTAACTTCAGAGTCATTAGCAGATGTCTTCAATAACTCTGGAGGAGAAGCATGGTTTCAGAAATCTAGAGAAGGGCAAATACAATGTTTGCAAATTAAAAGAAAGGGAAAAAAAAAAGGATAGAATCGGAGGAAAGGAAATAATGATTTGGGCTAGTCATTTTAAATTTCATCTCAGAGAAGAGGGCAATAAATAATCAAACAAAGCATATGTAAATACTTAGATGATGGCAAGGAGATCTGTGTAAGCCACTGTGGATTTTGTGGGTTCATGTGAACACAATCAAAGTTCTTTGCTGATAGTATCACAAGTTGGGTGAGTACGTATGAAATTATAGCTATCATTTATCTAATATATAAAAAGCTTTTAATACTATCTCATGACATAAGTACAGAAACCTGGCTTTTATTAAGTGATTGTAAAAGAAATACAAAGATAATAGGAAACTGGACTTACAGAGTGATGATTTGTGATCCATAGCCAATCTGGAAGGAATATTGAGGTGCCATCTGAATCACTTCTGGATCAAGCACTATTTTGTATTTTTACTAAGAATTTGGGTAATGGAAGAGCAATAGTGCTTATTCACTTTTTAAATGACAAGATGCTAGAAGGACCTGCAAATATCAAAGAAAAAAAAAAAAACTTATCAGAAAAGTCTTAAAAAATATGATTAATTTTGAAAAAAAAAAAAAATTTTTCTGAACACATTTTAAGCTATTTTTATCTTCTAGAAGGTTTTCCTGACACCTGGTTAGACTACTCTGTCCTATTTTGAACACCACACTGCAAGAAAGATCCAAACCAAATGAAATCAGTTGAGAGTGAATAAAACTTTGAGTTTGGAAAAAGAAAAGAAAAAAAAACCATGAAATTAGTTATACAGAAGAAAATGAAGGAAACATGAAGTTACAGTTTCATGCATGTAACTGAAAGCAAAGAAAAAGAGACTAAATTACTCTCTGCATAGACTACGGCTAGGACAGAAAGTAATCTAAGTGAAAAAGAAAGAAGAAGAAAAAAGAAGAAAAAAAGGATTAGATTAGAAATGAGGAATTATATTCTAATGAAAAGTGGAGAAGATGTAGAATAGGTGGCTACAAGTAATTGTTAACTCCATCACTGAAAGCTTTTCTAAGTCAGTTAGACAAACATCTGCTGGAGTCAGCTAAGCGAGGGAAGGACTGAATGGTGTCCAGCAGTACCCGAGAGCCCTGGTTTTCTAAGACTCCACTGTAAGATGACAGTTTTACACCAAAATGCCGTCATGCTGTCTCTTGTTGGCACAACCATGTTTACAGAAATGGATGATTTTTAAGAGATAATGGTATTGTTAACAAGTCACAGAAGAAAACCTCTTACGCACTTCCACACCTTTCTACATGCTGGCATCTGAGCTGTATTAACACCTCTATCTGTTTTTCTTAGTTCTTTATCTTAGTTTTCAGAGCAGTGGTAAGAGCCTCTATAAACACCAGGAAAGGCACACATATTACTACCAGAAAGGGACACCTTGAGTGACGACGATGCTGGGCCACATACCTCTTCATCTTGTTGGGTAATATGGTGATATGTTGACCTACCAAGACTGGACATATAGCCCAACGTTTCATATTTCCATCATTGCTTCATATTTTAGTAGAAGCCCAACCGGATTTGGTGTGTTAGGACTCTGCACCAGGCACGAGGCCTCGAGCTTTAACCGCACGAGCGAACCGGCAGTCATTTTGGGTATGCGTGCATGCTACACCTCCATAGGGAGCCTCTCATTGCTGAGAAAGAACTAAAAATGATACTGTAAAGCGACAGAAAACATAAAATAAAGGATAAGCGTGTTTATCTGTCGTATCGTGCTAGCCCTACGTTATGACCCTCCCTTCAGAGCCCGCGCGCCTCACAGGGGCGCCGCCTCCGCGCGGACAGCCCTGCCCAACGCCCGCCCCACGCCCCTCTGAGATGGCGGCCAGGGAAGCGCAGACTACAACCCCCAGCAGGCTCCGCGCGCGCCACCGCCTGCAGGCGCTTCATTGGCTGCATCGCCTCTCGGGGAGCCAATAAGAGTAAGGAGCCCTCCGCGCGCCGCGGTGCTCTTTGGGGAATGTAGTCCAACCGGGCGGCAGCGCAGGGCACGACGGGAGTCGTAGGCGCCTCCGTGGCCGTTGCCGGGGGGAGGGTGGCTGCGCATGCGCGGTGGCGGCGGCGGCGCAGACGGCGCGTGGCAGGAAGCGGAAGCGGAAGGGGGCCGGCCGGGCTCAATCCCTGACGTGTCTCTCGGAGGCCGCCGCCGCCTCTCGCTCTTTGCACCCGCCGGGCGGCCGCCATGGGGAGTGAGTATCGGGACGGGACGGGACGGGACGGGACGGGGGCCCCGCTCACCCCGCCCGCCGGCACGGGCGCTCCCCGCGGGGGCTGCTGCCCTCGGGGGTGAAAGGCCCTTCCTGCGGCCGGGACGAGCCCGCGGTGTCCGCCGAGCGGCCGCGCACGGAGCAGCGCCGTTAGCGGGCGAGCTGCCCCAGCACGAGTGCCCAGAGCCCGCGCGAAACGCGTCTTAAAATCCATATGTGTTAGAGAGGCGTAGGGGAGACGCGCGACTTCGTGCGACTTAGCAGCTTGCTAATAGTTCGGAATTAACTGAGCGGTTTTGGTGACGCTGTTTCAAAGTGCAGCTGAGTTTATCGCCTAACCCAAAGAAGGTGAAAGCAACCACTGCTTTTGGTTCTCTCGCGCTGCTTTAGGCTTTTTCATTCAAATCAGTCTAAAACACGTGTCCGCAGCGCGAGGTTTGTTGTGAGAGGTTTGGCATTGAGCTTGCTGCAAATCAGGCCGTCCTGTGCCTGTTCACAGGAGAGCATGTTGCTCTGTGAAATGAACCTCCTTCTTTGCTTGATTTTTCCAAGTTTGGGACAACGTTGATACTTCTAGTATAAGAGTAGATCCTTTTCACTCGGAGGTTGTTGTATGAGAAGTTCTATAAGGTAACTTGAATTACTGCTCATGACCTGTACGTGGGGGTTCCCCAGCTGTGCAGCCCTAATGTAAGCTCAGAATTAAATATCAGCAGTCTTGGGAATTGTATTTCTCAAAGTTCAGACTACAGAAGAAACTACTATGAAATAGAGGGCAGGGCTGTTGATAAACTTCTGCAAATCAGTGGCAGAATTTTTTGTGCTGTTAATTGAATTGGAGAAAGTAGAAAGGTATTATCCGCATCCCATCTATATTGCACCTAGTAAGGGTGTGATACAGATTTATAAAATGTGCTTTGCTGCTAATGGAGACTTTTAGTGCTTAAAGTGTCCAAATCCTGTTTTCTTCGACTTTTTCATATGTACTTTGTATATTCACTGTGTCTTTTAACTTATTTTCTTACAGTTAAATTCCTTGAAGTAATCAAGCCCTTCTGTGTTATCTTGCCCGAAATCCAAAAGCCGGAACGGAAGGTAAATTAATGAAATTTTCTTCATAGATCTGAAGTTATGCAATATAAGGTGTTTAAGGCTTAGCTTGCCTTTTTGGGGGTAGCAGGAGGAGGATACTTGTCAGTATTGTCAGCATAGATACGCTTTTTAAGGAGTGCCTGTCTAGTATGACTAGTAGTTTGAATGTGTTTGTAAAAGGGTATCTTTGCTGATAAAGATGCTCTTCTGTGGATACAATTATGCCTGAGCATATGTTGTAGTTATGTATGTAGTGTGAAAGGCATGAAAAGTTATTTTCATTATGTGTTATACTTTGTCCTTTCAGAAAAGAAATAAATGACCTCAAACTACTGTGAAAGTTAACCAGCTATTTGACTAGTTTTTATCTTAACAGTTTCATTCACTTCTGTTTTTTTTCCCCTTAGATTCAGTTTAAAGAAAAAGTATTATGGACAGCTATCACACTTTTCATCTTTTTAGTATGCTGCCAGGTATGTTACTTTCTCTTGTTCTTAAGCTAAAATGTTGAAAGGATGTTACAAAGTCTGTGCTTCAATTGAATCCTACTTCTCTGTTTGAAAATTCAGATCCCCTTGTTTGGCATAATGTCATCAGACTCGGCAGATCCTTTCTACTGGATGAGAGTGATTCTGGCTTCAAATAGAGGTAGGGTCAATGTTAAATATTTTGGTCCTGCTTTCACACTGCATTCTATTTTAAAGAATGTAAAATGGAGAGCGAAGAGAAAAAGTAATTTTATGCATTACATAATTATTTAAAGTGTGCATTGAAAATAACATGACTACATGAACAAAATGAGTTTGTATGTAGATATGTATATATAAGTTTGGAGGGCAAGCAAAGGACAATTCCTTAATACCTGTATAGCTGTTGTCATTGTCATGTGTGTATACATACATACATATATATATATTTAACCTTTCTGTTTTATACACTCTGTTATTTTCTTTCACTGTGCTTGCTGTATCTGACAGGTACGTTGATGGAATTGGGTATTTCACCTATTGTCACTTCTGGGCTCATCATGCAGCTCCTGGCAGGCGCCAAGATAATAGAAGTTGGTGACACCCCGAAGGACAGAGCTCTGTTTAATGGAGCACAGAAATGTAAGTAACAGCTGATGTTGGCGACTGAGATGATATTTTAGAGTATCTAACCCTAGCCACAGCAATCATAACTTAACATACAGTAAGTCTTGAATTTGGATGTATAAGTTTCTGTCTTGCTACTGTCGCATATTCATGTTGTGATAAACTTCTGTATTTAAGCAGTTTTTTATTGACTGCTTCTTGCCCATTACCTGTTAAGTCTTAGATTGGTTTGTAATGGAAATACCTGTGCAATTGATATTGCTATTATAATCTCATCAGATAAGCCAAGTAATATAGAGACATTGGAGACTCAACCTTTAAACTGTATTGGTCAGTCTTAACCTAAAAAGGTTAATCTTTAAGTTTGTTGTAGTTCTTGCTTTGTGGTTAGCTAAAAGGATTCCTTTTTAATAGTAAGAGATGTGTGTGCTCACTTGATAAATAGCTTTTAGATAAACTTGAGTCTTCTCCAGCTATTTTTTGCTGCACTGCAACACTTATTGGTTTGCTTACTGAGGGGGGAAAAAAGCCAAAGCACATGCTTCTGAGTCTGTTTTTTTTTTTCTATTGAATTTATTTCTATATTGAAATATTTGTGTTATTTCCAGTGCCAGATTTTTAGAAAATGAATTTAAGTTTGCTCTTGAATTTAAATGTCCTGTGACTTATGTTTATAGGAAGTTGGGAAGAAATACATACCTGCTTATATATTTCTTGATTTGCCCACTGGCATATAAATCTGCAGAAGAAATGCCTACTTTTTTTTTTTTTTTTTCCTCTACAGTGTTTGGAATGATCATCACCATTGGTCAGTCGATCGTCTATGTAATGACTGGAATGTATGGAGACCCGTCTGAGATGGGTGCTGGTATCTGCTTACTTATCACAATTCAGGTAATTTCTAGTCCCAGGTTCTTAGCCTTGCTCTGAAGGGGTCAAAAAAGCAGCATCTGGACTCCTTCCTGCCTCACATGTGAAGAAGTCAGTGTGTCTGTTTCCTCATTTGTAGTCTTTCTTGTCTTCTATTAGAAGCTTTGTAACAAATCAAAAAGGGATGTGAGTAATGCTTTGTTCCTCTTCTGTAGCTTTTTGTTGCTGGATTGATAGTCCTGCTCTTGGATGAGCTCCTGCAGAAAGGATATGGACTTGGTTCTGGCATCTCTCTCTTTATTGCCACCAATATTTGTGAGACTATTGTGTGGAAGGCCTTCAGCCCCACCACTGTGAACACAGGACGAGGTAATGTGGTGCCTTCTGTTCCTTTTATTTGCATTAGGATATAATAATGCCTAACACTTGATTAACCAAGTAGTTGCATATTCTTTTAAGAAAAAAAAAACACTTAGCATATTTATTTAAACTTTACTGACATCTTAAGTATATAGTTGCCATGCAGTGAGACTCTGAATTCAGCAGTATGCCTGTAAGGAGACAAAGCCCTGAAGCTCAGAGACATCTTCACACATCTGACCTAGTTTTCTTTTCCATTCCAAGGCATGGAATTTGAGGGAGCCATCATTGCTCTGTTCCACCTTCTGGCTACTCGTACGGATAAAGTCAGAGCTCTTCGCGAGGCCTTTTATCGTCAGAACCTGCCCAACCTCATGAACTTGATTGCTACCATCTTTGTCTTTGCTATCGTCATTTATTTCCAGGTCAGTTGGAGTCAACAGAGCTGTAAAATTGTTTGTGGTAGAAATAAATCCATATTGTTTAACTCTACAGGAAATTACGTTTTTATCTTTTAGTGCCTTCAGAAGACTCAGTTTGGGATGTACAATATCTAGATGTTTATTTAAAATCAACTTCTCCTAAGCAGTTGCAACACTCAACTGTAACCACTCAAAACTGAGATCTCATTTGCTCTATGAAAGAAGAGATGAATGTGTGTATAGATAGTAGCACCTTGCCCAAAGTGCTGTTGCTTTTGCTGGATGAGATTTTAATTTTTGTAAGCCTGACTGTCTTGGTGTTTGCTTCAGAAAATTACTGAAAAATATCAAGTCAGTTTTGGTTAGCTTTAATGGTTTTTTTTGTTTGTTTGTTTTTCTGGACTCTGTTCTAAATCATCTTGTATTTTTTGGATTTCTTCTAATGGTTAGATCTTTCATACCCGTTAAATGTGTGAATTTAGACAATCCTGTAGGTTTCCAGGGCCTTGACAAAAATGTTCACACGGATGGTTCCCCTAGATAGCGTTTAGGGTACTTGCTGGCCATCATTGCAGATTTTTTACTGTTGTTAAGGCTTTGCACTTGCAGTTGACCCTTGGTATGTGTTCGACTCATGAAGATACAATGATTATTTTCTTCGTTTTTTTTTCAGGGCTTCAGAGTGGATCTTCCAATCAAATCTGCTCGCTACCGTGGCCAGTACAACACCTACCCTATCAAGCTGTTCTACACTTCCAACATTCCCATTATTCTTCAGTCTGCCCTTGTGTCCAATTTGTATGTCATCTCCCAGATGCTTTCTGCTCGCTTCAGTGGCAACCTGCTGGTTAGCCTGCTGGGCACTTGGTCTGTGAGTATTCCCACGTCTTGCACACAGCTTTGTAATAGTCGCATTAAAATGCTTAATTGAAGATTGTTTCTGTAAACATTAAAATGTGTTTCTACAGGTGGTCTTGTACATTAAAACTCCTAGATTAGTAGCTCGTTTAAATTGATAATTGAGAGACTTGTGAAGAGTTTAAGTTCTCTGTCTCCATTTTTTTTTCTTGGGCTCTTCTTCCTTGTTGATGTGGATATTTTTGCTTTTCTATGCTGTATTTCATCTCCACGTTGGAAGTTGCTGGAGTTTGAATATGTGCGCTGCTGTAGCGATATATGTAGTATATACAGGGGATGCATAAACCCAAGCTTAGCTTAATGACTAAGCAGTAGTGAGAAAATTGGTGACCACTTGCTTCCTTCTACTAGGACATATCATCCGGAGGCCCAGCTCGTGCTTATCCAGTTGGTGGACTTTGTTATTATCTGTCACCTCCAGAGTCCTTTTCTTCAGTGTTAGAAGACCCTGTCCATGCAGTTGTTTATATTGTATTTATGTTGGGATCCTGTGCTTTCTTCTCCAAGACATGGATTGAAGTCTCTGGCTCCTCTGCCAAAGATGTAAGTTTAAAATTAATAAATAAATAGGAGGAGGTGGGAGGGAAATGCATAAGAAACAATGTTGTAAAAGAAATACAGGCTTTCTTCTGAAATGCAAACTCTACTGGTAATATTGTTGGTTGTATTTATCAATTTATCATCTGTATAAACAGAGACTTATCTCTTTCTGATCTAGAGCCATTTAAAAATGACTCTCTTTTGACAAGGGGAGTGATGGAAGAGTAGAATGAGGACTTTCTTGTCCCCCTCTTCCTGACTCTCTCTTTCATAAGCAACAAGAACCAAACTGCCCAAAACATAATTACTTTTCACTGGCATGAGGAAGCTTCTTACATTACGGCATGAAATCTGATCGGTGTGAGAGAAGACAAGATACCAAGAAAGGTGGAAATGTTTTTAGTGCCAGGTGACGGTTGCGTTGTGTGAAAAGCAGGTACCATGTGAAAACTAGTCAATAGTGAATCCGTATATCTGGCATGAGGAGATGTTCATTTTTGGAGGGGAAGTTAACTAGATGCTCTTTCTTAAGAGAGCAGACCATTAGTGTACGTGTGCTCAGCCACTCAGTAGCTGTCATTGTGCGTGTGTGTGTATGTGTTTTTGTTGTTTCTTTTTGTTTTTGTACAATTTCAACAATCCAGTTCTTAGAAAATACTATTGGAACATTATTTTAAGGTGCATTGTTTTCATGGCTTGATTTATACAGTCCCACCAATACTTGTTAGCTCACCTGAATAGTCTTGCTGACAGGTACTGAACTCTATCCAGTGGAGAGTAGGCATCAATCAGGAATTTACTTTATGTGTATGAGTCTACCAGTTTCCATTTTTTTATAGTAGGGCAAAAATTTTCCAAAAGCTTTGCGCAATTGATAGTGTGGAAAAGTGTCTATGACTGCAGTCCATGCAACTGTAAACTTTCGGATGAAACAAAAATTATTAGTATATAAAAAACTTGTTTTTCACTGAAGTCTCTTCTCTTTCACATACCACTTGGTTTTATGGCAAATGAACTAAACTTGTTCCATTTCTTCATTCGACACAGGTTGCCAAACAGCTGAAAGAACAGCAAATGGTAATGAGAGGCCACAGAGAAACCTCCATGGTCCATGAACTGAACAGGTGAGCCCTCGTTTCCCCGGCTGTGCTAAGGGAGGCCTGAATCCTCCTAACCACTGCAAATGTACTGATGTTAGTGACACGCTTCTAATATCCTGAGCAAGGTCTAAAGGTGCCTTTTTTATCCTTATTATGCGTTTTACAGGTATATCCCTACAGCTGCTGCATTTGGTGGTCTCTGCATCGGTGCCCTCTCCGTCTTGGCAGACTTCCTCGGGGCCATTGGGTCTGGAACTGGAATCTTGCTTGCCGTCACTATCATTTATCAGTACTTTGAAATTTTTGTAAAGGAACAGAGTGAAGTTGGAAGTATGGGAGCCCTTCTTTTCTAAATGTAGCTTCTCATGGACCCAGGAAGAGGGGAAGAACATTCTTGAAATAAGTCAGGTGAAAAGAAGTAAACTTGAGTATGTCATTCTATAGGAACATGTATTTTAATAATGTTTTCAAAGCGCATTCCCTTATGTTCAAACTTTTGTAGCATACTCTTCGCATTTTATAAATTGCTGGGGAAAAATGTGCAAAAAATTTTTTAAGAAAATTGTTTTTTAATTATGTGTTGGGAAAATCAGCTTTCTGAATTGAATTTAGTTCAGTCGCTCTTCAATTTTTGTTTCATCCCCTTTCAAAACAGGTATACCTGAAGCCTTCACAGGTTTTAACAAACAGTTATGGGGGGACAGTATGTTTGGAAGGGATTCTTTGCATTTAACTTGTGTTTGCAACTCCTTTGCAGTAGTGGTGAGAGAACCTCTCCCTCTAGTGCTTGTGTTCCGTAGTTATGGTTGTAAGCACAATGTTTAATACATTTGGTTTTGCTCTGTTCCAGTATGGCAGATTTGGGAGGCGATTGTTTCTTTTTACTAAATTATATCTCTAATTCCAAATATCTTGTCCTTTACTAAGCTAGGTCTTGTTAGATGTTGAATATTGGCTTGAGACTGTTGTCAATTCTCTTTAAAAGTCAGAATATGTTCTTGCCCACCACCTCTCCTCCAGAAGCAGAAAACTCAGGTCAATCAGAGTCTGTGCCTAGGAGTTGCAGCTCTGAATCCTGGTAATGCAGGCAGCTTTTTTCATTGCCATTAGCCATAGCACTTCTAGCTCACAGGAATGGATGTTACAGCTGTTTAGATGCAAATCTTGTGCCATTTGCTAAAGTTAAGTTTCTCTCAACAGTACTAAATTCTGGATATTATCTGACAGTCATATCTAGTGCATTTGGAGACGGTTACTATAGAGGAGTGTGCTTTGTCTGTTTTTACCCCTAATTCTGGATATGAGACCCTTTTCAGGTAGTTCCTGTTACTGCTCATGTTAGATGGCTTTACTGTCCAGTAGTCTCATTGACTTGAGCAGTGGGTAGAAAAATACCAAAAGTCAATGGGGCTTCTTTTTTTCAGGGTCATGCCATCAAATTGGAGAAGTTGAAGTAAAAGGCTTTAATGGACCAGAAAAATCCTTAATTTTCCATTTAAATTTAGATTGTCGATATTAATCAGGTGCCTAGGACCAAATGCAAATATTTGTGTGTGAGTTTTGTAAATACACTTTTCCTCAATCAGTATTGGACAACGTGGAAACCTGAATGAGAAGTGATAACAGTGGAATGTTTCTCTACACTGCATCTACATGACTTCCTGAGCATTTTTGCATGTTGTGCTGACTGTATTATAAATTATTATTTCTGCTTGGAGTGATGGGACTTTCTGGTACGTTCCCCAAGAAGCACAGATGACATCCAGAAGACCCTGTTAATGCACTGAGCTCAAATACCAAATGCATGAAAATTTAGCAAAGCCTATATAACAGACACCTATGAAAAATTATGATTTCTCATAATTTTGATTATCGGGATTGGGACAGGAGCACAAGTGCCAGGAGAAAGGCTCCATGAAATGCTCGCCGAAACGTGGCCACTATTATTTCACACTACTTTCTGTAATTTTCCTTTTCTCTTTTGTAAAGTAGCATGTCACAGCACAATTTTTGATGTGAAATTGGAGCAGTTCAAAAGAGACTTTAAAGGGAGGAGGAAGGAGCTTAGTCTGGTTTGGTTGGTTGATTGGGTTGTTTTTAGGGGGGAGGGAGTTTTTTGGGTTGTTTTTTTTCCTTTTTTTTTTTCAGGAAGACCAATATAAATCTCTTCAAAATGAAGAGGACTTCACTTCTGGGCATGCAGTTCTGGCAGGGCTGGAACTGTTCTTGTGTTTTTGGTCATATCATCAGTTTGAACGAGTTGCAGTTTAGACGGTGGCTTCTTCAGTGTCTGAGCAGCACTTGTGTGTTTGCATCTGTATTTTTGCTGTCTAGTGCTGGAATCTTTGTCTATTCTCGAGCAGCTACGTCCTCAAAGCAGGACCTGCTGATCAGCAGGGATGTTCACAGTGGATGTTCACAAAAAGAAATAATGCCTAAACAATCTGCTTTATAATGAAATAAAGTACATATTTGGAGCTAACACCTGCCTTGCAATTCTTTGAGTATTTTTACTCTTCTAGCAGCTGTAGAGCATGGTTACCTGGCTAAAGGACAGTAAGGTTGATCTCTCTTGAAACAGCTGTTTTGAGAGTAATGAACTTCATCCGAAGTCTTCTCTCAACTATAGGTTGACCTTAAACACTACTTTGCACAAATACACTACTTTGCATTGGTAATCCAGGAGAGCTGCCCTTCAAAAGGTACTGAAGATGCACAAATAAATACTGGGAGAGTAAGGTATTGACATGGCAGTTTGACAAAAACTTTGTCTTTTTTTTTGACATTACTATCAAGGTATTAAATATAACAGTGTAGCTTGGCTTCTGATATCCCAAACTCTAATGCCTTCTAAATTTAAAGCTAAGGTGGACCAAGGAAAATACCTAGTTCTTAAAGTAGATGTTTTTTAAAAAAATCTGCTGTTGCTTGTAAGAAATAGGGACTATAGGGCCTAGACCTCTCCCTGTGCAAGAGCAGTGGTTGCTGCTCTGGGGCTATTCCCTACTCGCACACTCAGCAGTTCTCCACACCACAGCTAGTTCACATAGCAGCAGTGAGGCCACGGCTGAGGTCCTCTTGCTGCGAGCACTCTTTTAAGTGAAATTCACCACAGTGCCAGATTTCTTTTTCTCCTGCACTCTCCCTGTCACTAGTCTGCATGGCACTGCTTCCATGGAACACCTGGGAGCAGGTTAAGAGCTTTATATTCCCGGAATGCCTGGAAAGGGAGTGTCTGGCCTGTGGTGATGTTGATGGCCGCCCAGTGTGCGGCAAGGCCGGCCATGGCGGGGCCCTGCCGGCCTGTGCGGGCCCCGGCATCCCGCAGCCCCCGGCGGCCGGAGCAGCCGCCCGCGGGGTGGCGGTGTGAGCCCGCCTCGCTCCCGACACGTCCTCAACCGGCCTGGGAGGACGTTGGAGCCTGCACCATTGGAGGCTGCAGAGGCCTGGGGACGCGGGGCTGCCAGGGCTCCGAGGAGGCCACGCTTGAGGCCGCACTGCCATGTGGTTGTAGTCTGGGTTGATACAGCCTATGGGACTGTGATAAAAGCAAGAAAAGGGGCATTTAGAAACAAAAATCAACATCCTAAGCTAGGGGCCTAGGCGGGCAGCAAGGCTTTAAGCTGCTCTTTTGTAACGTGAGACTGGATGGAGCTGCTGAAATAGAAGCCCGTTTGCGGGCCAGGTCCTCGCCATCCTCTGGCTGTTGCTAATACGGGCGGCACTTGGCAGAAAGGCAACGTCCTGGTGCCCAGCACCTCCCGTGGCAGCGGCACACGAGGGCTGAGCCCCGACGTGAGGCCCTTGCTCACCACAAAGCGGCCGCCGCCTCAGGCGAGGGGTGTCCGATCCCTGATGCTTCCTGCTGAGGACGGAGACAGCGACTCTTCCAGCAGCACCGCTTCCCAACAGCTAGAAACAGAAGACAGGAGTAAAACAGGAGGGATAGGATTGGAATACGTTTTTTCAGTTGTTCTGGGCATTTTTGTGTTGCCTTGGGTGAATCCATGGCAGATGTATTACCCCAGGTTCCCCATCTTACAGGATGTGCATGAAAAAGGTTGGAGTGCTGCTGGGGGAGTGCGGGCTCTGCAATACAAGATGGGCATGACCCCCCTTAATCCCCAGCCCTCCTTGGGGTGTTCTTACAGCTCTTGTGTCTTCTACATACCAGGAAACTTCACAGGACAAAAAGGCAACTCCAGGTATTCAGCAGCAGGAAGACAACTGAGCAGAGCATTTGGTGTGATTGAAAGCACCATGTTGGCTGGAACTTTGTTTTCACTTACACAGCTTTATTTCTGACAAAAAGAGAACAGGAATTGTTGCTGAATTGCAGCAGGCTGCAGAGCTCTGTCTAATAAGCCTAGAGCAAAGCTCACCCTGGCCTCACCTGCAGCCATTTAGACCATGATTTGGGATATTGAGCTCAGCTGTGGGCAGTGAGCTGAGGGATCAGGTTGGAAGCAGCAGTTCTAAGCAGCGATTGTGGAAAGAAGGGAGAGAAGATCTGGGGTAGGAAGGAGGTGTGTCCTGGTGTGATGTGTCTGTGCTTAAATCAGGGCACATCCAAGTGCTGAGCACCAGGAGTTTGCTGACTATGGACAACAAGTCACCTTGTGCAAGCCCAAGGTGAGTTTTGATTAAGGTGCTGGGGGGACAGCTGTGCTCCAGGCCAAGGACTCCTCTGTGCTGCGGGAGCTGCTATCCCAGGTTGGCCTTGGGCTCCTTTCCCCTGTACAAAGTTCCCTTCATTTTCTGCAGATGAGATGTTGTCTGTTAAAGATGCTCAGGAAAGGAGGTTATTTCTTTGGGAGTTTTGAGGGTGGTGCTTGAGCTGATGATCTTTGATTAAGAGGAGCATTCTTCACTTTGCCCTCTTGCTGTGTGTAACACTTCATGGAGGAGATTTAGAGGGGATTATGGTGTACTAGAGGCCAAGTACCCAAGGAAGGGTGTCCCTTTCTGCCTACCAATGCTCACCCGTGAGGCCAGTGTGTTCCCATGTACGTGAGGCCTCCAAAACGGTGTCCCCCCAAAACTGCTTCCAAAAACTGTGCCACTGTGATCCAGAAAAACGCTGCACCGCCGCATTTCCCAGGGGAGCTGTTATGGTGGCAATGAAACACGGGGCCGACGGGGCAGCTTCCTCTTGCCCTTGTAAATCCTCTAGCAGGCGGCTCCTGTGAATCCTGCCGAATGTCTCCTTGAGTGGGAGGAAGACCTGGGGCGTCCAGGAGCAGGATGGGCGCCCAGAGAGGTGGGCAGTGGAGGTTGGAGATGGCCCGTCCTCATGAATGGGAACTTTGTGCTCGTGTAGGCATCTGCTGAAGCAACAGGACCTGGTCCCCATGGCAGGGAGCAGGAGCTTTGCAAGCCCATCGAGATGACCCTCTGAAGCTGGGTGCAGAGCTTTGTGCAGCTCCTCTTCATGACCCCATGTGAAACTGTTTCCCTCTGTTTCTGTCATGCGTGGCTCTGAAACACGCTTGGAGCCTCCTGGGTGCACATTTCTTCTTTTGCCTCTCTTGCATGGAGAAAAACGTTCAGCTCCTGTTTGTTTTTAGCCCGTGTGGGATGTTCTGCTCTGATTCTGGGTGCAGAAGGGTGGCTGGTGTTTCTGGAGGGTGATGGTAACGTCTCTGAATACTCGTGGCAAGATCCTGCCTTCTGGATTGAACAAAGTAAATTCATCCTCTGAAAAATCTATCCGGAAGGACAGGACCCTTTAGGAAAATATAGTTATCAGTCCCTCTAATCTTAGGTGCCTATCACCTGTATTCAGGTTAGTGCGATACAGATGTCCAGGCGGGCCGGAGTCATTCAATAAAGCTGCTGCTATAGTTCTTTACATTAATACTGAGCTTGGGCACATCACTCCTGTGCTCTGGAAAACTGCACGTGGCTCTGGGTCTAGGAGAGCTTTGGAGACGGGAAGAGAAGGGACCGGCGGAGGCGCTGGGTCCCGATGGTGCTGGCACCCGTGAGGCGCCGGGGACGCAGAGGGGCCTTTGCTCTGGTGTGGGGGGATCCCTGATGGCCTCCGTGGTCTTGGTGGGTCCCGCTGCTACCTGCAGGTACGTGGGTGGCTGTTGTGCCTTGTTACTGGCACCAAACTCCCTGGGCCGAGCTTAGCTCGGGAAGCCTGTTGCACCCTCTCGGTGGGTGATGTTCTCTGTGCCGTTCCCCGCTCTGCTCTCCCACACAACGCGCTCCTGTCTCATACAACACATCCCCTTCCACATGCTCCAGCCTCCCCGCGCTTCCCCAGAGTGCGTCCAGGATACCAGGAGCTGTTCCCCTTCCCGGCTGTGCTCCCTATTGCCTCTCCCCACTTCCCCCTTGTCTCCCCCATTCTCTCCTTCCACACGATTTTGCTTTTCGGGCTCTCCATCCGCTCCCTCCCGGCCTCTCTGCAGCTCTCTGGGCTCCCTCGGCTTCTCCGTCCTGCGCAGCCTGACCGCTGCCCGGGGACAAGTGACGCCGGGACGGCTGCGCGGAGCGGGGACACCAACTTACGGCGTTGTGCAGCCGGTGATCCCTGCTCCTGCTGGGCCGTGGGCCAAGCAGGGAGCGCGAGTGCCTGTTATTGCTCGGCAAGGGAAGTCTGCACGTGCTGGACCGAGTTAAGGAGAGTTTCCCTTCTGCTCAGCCGTGGAAAATGGTCCCGTGGAGCAGCAAGGGCTCCGCTGCTGAGGACACCACGGATGGGCTGGGATCTGAGCTGCCCTTTTCTGGAGCTCTGCAAAACCCTGGATGTGACCCTGCGCTCTGGGTGTCCCTGCTGGAGCAGGGGCTTGGACGGGATCATCTCTAGGGGTCCCTTCCCACCTCAACCATTCTGGGATTCAAGGCTTTATTTGCATATCACCCTGAGAGGGAACCTGATGAACCCCCTTCCTGATCACGCTATTCGAGCCCAGCCTCGGCGGTCCAGGAAGATTCTCTGCTTTTCCTTCCTCTCTGCGGTGCCG